GCTGTGCTGCAAGACAGTGTACTATGTACAGACTTTCATTTTTTTTTTACTTTTTTTTAACACTTAACGTTATTGCTATCACATAGGGGGCTAAAAAGCTAATTTGCAGTGACAAGTCCTTTTGATGGAGACATCGGGGGTCTCCATTCGAGCCCTAATGTCACCTAGGGACATCCAAAGAAGCTGCTTCACCAGCTTCTCTCCGGCTACAGAAGCCAGAGGAATGACAGCGGAAAGCAGAACTGATGTAATATACATCACTTCCAGATTCAGAGACCAGAGAGTAGTTGAGCGGGAGATTGTGTGCTGATTTCCCTTCGATCTCCGTTCCCAAAGCTGCCATGCCGGATAGCATTACACTCATCATACAAGCAATCTGGCGGCTCTAAAGCCATTGCCGGCTGTTTAAACTGCAGGCAGGTTCCCACTCATGCGCAGGGCTGCACACACATGGGGGAGCAGGTAAAGGACATTTTGAAACGCCCAACCACATTCCAGAAGCCACGGTGGTTAAAGAGGAGTTTTACCCACCCATTTAATGTTTCCCAAAACAGTTACTTTTAAGGCATGTCAACCTTCAAGGTTGCCATTGTGCTTGTTATAGTTCTCAACTGAACTTTCAAGCCATCAAATGGCTGGTGTCATAGCCGATCAAATGTGCAGCACCATTTCAACTGCAATACTAATAGGAGCCAAGATGGCACCTTCCTGTGATTGGCTGTAAGGGATAGGAGGTTGTACTTCTGCTTTTACTTGCAATCATGTGGCTGCTTTAGCTCAGTTCAAATCCAGTGCAGCAGTGGCTCGAGGTGTGTACGCCAGAGCTACTTATGTTACTTCCTCCTCAAGTCCCTCATAAAGCTAAGCATTGTCAGCCCTCCCTATAGGCTGACAACACCTGGGCCATGACGTGTCCCCTATTGTGGGGAGAGGGTGATGATGTTGCTGGAATTTCAACAGCAATCTAGTAGCTGTGTCTGCATTCTCCAAGAAATGACCCAGGGGGCTCAAAACTTATAGGATCGCGGGAGAAATATTGGAACAAAATGAGAAAAAAATGGTCTCACTTTAACATGTGCAGCATAAAGTACTATTTATTCATTACGATTTGAAGGTTTACATACACTTTGAGATAATTGGGATAATTGACATTTCCTCACGTACAGCTACGTTCTTGGTAAGTAATCCTCTAAAGGACACTAGAGGCGAGGTGAGCCTTCTTTAGCATGAAAGTCTTGTAGCATAACAATAAGGTTTGCTTAGCTTCATATCAAATGTGGCTGCTACAGCAAGAATCTTCGTGTCTGTACAGATATGGGATTTGATATATACACATCTGTGAATTGTGTTAATAGCGCCTTTGTAAAAAGAGGTTTTAGTTTTAAGTATACAGGTCCTTTAAAAAACAGCCTATAGGAATGTATGTGTTAAAGTGACACTAAACTCAGGAGTTACATCTTCAAAATGCATTCTAGTAACCTATTAACAAAAAAGTATCTTATTTGTGTATTTTTAAAGTAGCCACGACTCCAAGCTTGCTGCAATGATAGACTACAATCTCAATATTATTATTATTATTATTATACAGGATTTATATAGCGCCAACAGTTTGCACAGCGCTTTACAATATAAGGAAGACATTACAATTACAATACAATTCAAGACAAGATGGTAAGGAGGGCCCTGCCCCTGAGGGCTTACATTCTAAAAGGGAGGGGGAAGTGATACATGAGGAGGTAGCTGTGTGGGGATGAATTGTTTGAGAATGCGATGGTTGAGTGGTTAGGTTGTGGTGGGATAGGCTTCCCTGAAAAGATGAGTCTTTAGGGTTCGCCTAAAGGCAGTCAAGGTGGGAGATAGACAGACAGGTTGGGGTAAAGAGTTCCAGACAATGGGAGAGACTCTAGAGAAGTCCTGGAGGCGAGTATGGGAGGAGTTGACAAGGGAGCTGGAAAGCAGGAGGTCTTGGGAGGCGCGGAGGGGACGGTTAGGGTGATATTTTGAGACAAGGTTTGAGATATAGCCGGGGGCTGAGTTGTGGATGGCTTCATAAGTGATTGTTAATATTCTGAATTTTATCCTTTGCGCTATTGGAAGCCAGTGCAGGGATCGGCAGAGGGGGGTTGCAGACACGGAGCGCTTGGTTAGGTGGATGAGTCTAGCAGCTGCAATCATGAGAGACTGAAGGGGGATAGCTTGTGTAGAGGAAGGCCAATGAGGAGGGAGTTGCAATAGTCAAGACGGGAGATAACAAGGAAGTGGATGAGTCGTTTATCGGTTAATATAAACATAACTTAGTAAACTAAACATGAGATTGTAGTCCATCACAGGAGTAAGCTTGGAGCTACTTTACAACACACACAAGGACCATACGGAGCAAAAGAAGCCACCCTCCAGAAGGAAGGACAGTGTCAGCACCAATTCAGAGATGATTTCGGGATCTACAGCCGAGTGGTACACAAATAAGATCCATTTTTGTTAATAGTTAAGGTACTTGAATGTATTTTTAAGAATTACCTTTTGAGTTTAGTGTCACATTAAGCAACAAATGAGATATATATAATTATTCAACATGGTTGCCCCCAGAATGATTTCAGTATTACATTGTAAAATTAAGCTTTCGAGTCACCATGACAACTCAGGGATGGGAATTTCCAGAGGGAGGTCAGCAATGGCAGCCAACACACTTCACCCATCAAAGGTTTTCTTTAAATAGAAGGCTCCAAAACCTCTTTTTTTTTCTACAGCTGATTACTCAAAAACGGCAGCGTGGATGTAAAAAGTAAAAGACTTTTCTGCATTGTGTTACAGCACTGCAATCTAGCGTCGCATGTGACAAAATACGTTTAAGGAGCGAACATTAGCTGTTTTATTACCTGTAGTATAGTTTGAAAGGATTGTGCTGATTGTCGAATATAAAAGGCCTGCCAAAGCAACATGGAAATTGCACATTTTTTTATATGTATTATTCGCTATAAAGCAGAACCTGAGGTTGCCTTGTGCTGAAAGTTATATTATATACATACAAAACCGTCCATAAACTTACAGCTGGAGCTCCAAGAGCCAATAACCTTGTCTGTAATGTTCCAAATCTCTATAGGAAGACATTCATAGCACACATACAGACTGTCCTTTGTTCCTTGGTCTTCCCTGTAATCATGAATGTATTCTGTAATAATAAAAGCACAGCATCAAGCAGTGATGACAGTAAACTTGCTAAAACACTCTTAAAATGGTTGATTGGATATCATGACAGCATGGGTAAGTTGCCGAATGACAAATGATCCTTTCTTTTTTCTAAGTTCAGCATTCTTGCAGACTCCTAAATATTGGAAATGGATATCATTCCAAAAAAGAAAATCCAGGAAAAAAAAAAATTCCTGTTCCGAATAATGTATCCTCTTTCTTCCCTCCCCTTCTTGATGACATTCATTGTGCATGCGAGATGGTCAAGCTTTTGCTTATCCTCTCCCTTAAAATCTGCAGTCATAACAGCCATTTAGTTCATGAATATGTTAATCCTGGATGCAGACTGAAATTAGCTTGGAGGTTCCCACTATACAGCGCGAGTCCGTCGCCTTCAACTAATTTGAGGAAAAGTAGCGCTATCTCATCACTTTACTTCATGCATGGTGGGATTAACACAATAGGAAGCCAATTTTAAGGGTCTACAATATGTAGACCCCCCTCCCCTTTTTTATTAACATCTATGGCTAAGCATAGCTGAGAAGTTGTATTAATAAACATAATACGGTACATAAATTGTGTACTTAACTATTGAGAGACGGCAGAGCGGGACGCCATGCAAATCTCTGCAGATGCACCCAGCATGGCCCAGTTTTGTTTTTATCATTAAATGCACACGGATAGGCTAGCTGAAATAGTATAATAAGATTATAGCTGCACATCCCTTCTTTGCCAAATATTACATTGTTTATGTAGGGAATATTTACCGGCTGCAGATATAATTGACTGTACGCTCCTATACATATTTATGTTGTACGCTATCATGTACCACCCTTTGTTAGGGAGCCGCTTATGTGACGTACTTCTAGATGGCAATAAAGGCAGAGCAATTACGTCTTAGCAATTAGGCAGCCAGTGACTGTTTGTAACCCTGAGAATATTAAAGACGTATGCAGTTTGATAATGTACAAATGTCTCAGGCTTCTATCAGGACACAGTGGCCAGTGCACCTATTGTGTCACTGCTGCAGAATGCTCTATTGCGATTGGCCACTGTCTGCAGCACATAATACTGACTGGTTATAAAGGACTTGTCTAGAGGAAGCTTGCAGGTACTCGATTGTCTGCTAAACTTGATATGACTGTATGACCGCATTCCAATTTTATCAGGGGGGGGTCAGCCAGCTGAACTGTAGAGAGAGAAAGAGAGCAGAATTTCCTTATTTAATTTTTATTTCAGTAATTCCCGGCCTCATTCTGCATAGTTAAAGACTGTTCATTAAAGGCATAAAACTAATGACAGGCTATGAATTATATTCCGGCGCTGCGCTCTCAAATTCTGCAGAAATATTCGTAATGCCTTTCTGTGGCTTGGCGAGAAGCAATTTTTTAACGAGGTAAAGAATTAAGAATAAAAAAAAAATTATTTTATTTATTTTCAAGAAATAACCTGAAATTCGGGTAGAGCGGGTAAGCTGTAAACTATTTGAGAACAAAAAAAAAAATAAGCGACAAAAATAAAGAGCGCAAAAACGGGGCGGCGAATTGCTTCATTTGTCCGCTTCTTGCAATAGTCTTCAGTAAAGAATTGCTTTTATATTCATTTTCTTCAATACTTTTTTTCCCCTCATTTTTCTGTTATAGACAAATGTAAGATCACAGTCTGGGCTCGGTGCCAAAGGCTGGTATTTCACAGCAGCGACCGCCTCGCAGACAAGAGCTGTGGGAAACAGGAGGGAGACTCTCGCTTAGGGTACCACTACTATGGAGACACAGCTGGGCTAAACAAGATTTGCTACGAAGCAACCAGCGAGAGACGCAGGACGGGTCTTACTTGAGCACTGCCTGAGCAGGCAGTAACCAGAAGAGCTAGCAGCCAATCCGGCCATGCTGCACTGTTTGAAACCAGCTCCTCATCTCAGCCAATCAGTGACATTATTGGTGAGAAACTCATTTACATCATGCAGTAATGAACCTTGTTTAACATATATTGTTTTTTTTTTCCTTTCATTGTGAATAGGTCCCCCATTAATTATTCTGCCTGCATAATTTAAATTGCTTTGCAAAAAAAAAATGGCTCTGTTCCAGCGATCATGTGCTCTCTCACACTGTCACTGAGACAATTATTTTTATTTTAATGCAGCAAATTACATTTTAACACTTGCTGACTGTTTTTTTTACAACTCAGCAGCATTTTATTTATAATTTTAAATTATTTTCTCATATTTATTACGATTGCTTTTTGCAGTCAGAGCTTCTTTTTCTTTTTTAACATTCTATTGTGAACACTATTTGATAAATGTTAGGTTTAAAAAATATGGATTTTAAGCCCCCTGAAAGACATTCTTTGGCCTTTGTCACAGTCTGAGTCAAGTTAAACATGAATGTACTTTATTTGTTCCCATCAAGATGAAATTGTATTAACAATCAGCGGTAAGATCATTCATGAATAAATCATAAAAGCCCTTCCCCCTTTGACAAAGCTTTAATATTTTCTCTCCACATATAAAATCTTATAGTCATCACTTTCATATCATGAGACACTTATAAGTACGCATTAGGGAAGCAGCCTATGTATTCTTGTAAACAAAAACAAAACAGAATTGCATGTAGTCTAAATGGATATTATGCAGGCATTAATGTCGTTTCCCATAAACAAGATAAATAAAAAAGATGTAAATGGGCTTGGCGTGTATACGGTACATAATGATTCATTTTTCTTAAAAGACGTAAGGCATAAAATTCTCCATCCTCTCCACCCACCATTATCTGCACATGCACATTCCGTATCTAAAGGAAAAAATATTCTCTGTTTAATTCTGGAGGAAAAACAAAATCTTGCAAAAAATTGTATAGTCAGGCAAAAATCCTATCAACTTTTTTTTTTTCTTCCTTGTACGTCCTCAAGGCCTTTTAGCAAATCGCAATGAAGTGATGTCCAGTCTATTTAGTTAAAAAAAAAAAATAGAATAAATATTTTTGCATTTTTTTTAATTCAGTAGATTGAAATGAGTTGAAAAAAAATGTAAAAAAATCAAATAAAATGAAATTGCAAATCCCAGCGAAAGCTTTCAAAAGGTCTCTATCAGTGGTAAAAAAAAAAAA